TCTGAAGAGCAAATCTGTATCATGTATTATTATTAAATGGGATAACCACTCCGGGGGGGTAGATCGATCTAAAACAGTTGCCACCTCACTATCTCGTTAGTGTGGTGAGAATTTTACGCAAACCTGTTCTGGAGTAGAGATGACCTTGGGACTTTCAGATTCCCCGAGTTTAACTTGGGCAACCCTTCTAAACACCAGGGTGGGGTACTCCAGCAGGCCTGCCCGAAGCCTAAGGAGCTGGTGTGGAATGATAAGCCGCCAGCCAGGAGAAGAGAGCAAGGGGCTAAAGGTTGATCTGCAGAGACTGACGTTTCAGTATTTAAATTTTCACCACAGCATATTCAAGTAGAACTTTTTAATTTTGTTCAACAGGTTCACATAGCCCACTATAAATGTGTGTGTGTGTGTATATAAAATATCCTTAAGAACCAGAATCCATTCCCTATGTGAAACTCCTCAGAAACACACACGCCCCCCCATGAAAGTTTTTAAAGAAAAAAAAGCTTAGAATTAAACAGTAACTCTGCAAAGCTACAGGTTTTTTGCATAGAGGCAAAAAGATAGTAATACAGACATGAATTTGTTCTAACGATTTAGGTTTGCTGCTACCCGAAGTTACTAGAGAAACAAAGCTGCCTTTGGGCACCTAAAACTAGTCAGACCTGCTGTAGCAGTTGCACAGTCGGCTCCAGATCTGTCCTGCACTCTCCTCCCTCCAGCCCCCACCCCACGCATCCGCATAGCTCACTCCACTCGGGGCGGCGCCGGGCCGGCCGCACGCTCACCACTCGGTCCGCTGTCCCTGCTCAGAGGCAGGCCCAGCACTGGGCACACGGCGTGCAAGTGTGAGAGGAGGCCAGACAAGAGAGCGGCAGATGCCAGCTCCATTTGGAACTGAAAGCTGCAATGGGTGCAGAACACAGCTTATGTGATACCAAATTTTTAAAATAGATCGATCAAATTGTGGTGCTTGCTTCAGCGACACCTGGCAGGTACTTTCAATTAAGTCCAGAAGAGGGACAGAGGATCTCCACAGGAGACACACGAGGCTTTCCAGCCTTAGGGGCCCCTCAGACCACAAGGAGAGCAGAATTTCCAAAAGGCAGTTTGCACCGCCTGTATGTGGTGCTTGTTAGAAATCATGTTTTCAAAGATATTGCGTTTTTATTTTTCAATTTTTATTTCAAAGAAAATTTTTAGGCAGCCAAGCATGCTTTGGCTGTCTCATGATCTTCAAGAAAAAAGAAAGAAAAATAAAAACAAGGCATCTATTTATTACCCAGAACAGCAATGTTGTCTTATTGGCCTGACATATGCCATTCACAGATTCATACAAAGAATGAACTGCCACACAGTGCTCGTGGAGAAAGACACCGCTCCGCACAATGAGTGATGGGCGCTCCAGGGGACGGTTCTGTTCACAGGGCTTCCCAGCATCTGCGCAGAGGGCAGGAGTTTGCCTTCAATACCAACTGCACCAGCCATTGGGGACAACACTTTCTCTTAAAAAGACATGCCAACTTTGGTTAGTAGCCGGTTCTTTCAAGAATATTAAAACTAAATTAAAGATCCACACATTTGAGCAGGAGTCCCAGCTTGTGGGTTTCTGTGAATTGTTTAAGGAATGTTTATTAACAATGGGTAGAAAATACAGGACTTGAGCATACGCAGTGGCTGCATTTTTAGATTTTCATGTTCTGCTGGTCAGCAGTGATTAATGGATAGACCTAGGGTGGTGGCTTTTCCCCTTATGGCGAGGCCATTTTTACATAAAACTGGAGCTTGCCCTGTGGTGCATTTAGTCTACACCTGATCTTTGGGACTCAGTAATCGGACAGAAAGTCAGTCTCTCTCTTCATTGCCAACTATAGCTATTTCCTATAGGATATGCCATAACAGTAAATATAAAATTTCTGTAGCAGTGAAGTTTTAAAAAATTCTACAGGTAATTAAAGTTCGCACTCTTAAACACCATATTTATCTATACATAGTTTAATCGTATGTAATATTGACAGCAGTCTTGATTTTTCTGATATTAATGAAATAGAAGGTAAAGAAGCGTCATGCTTTTACTAGTGTCCTTGAACAAGAAGCTACAGCAAAAAACAAACCAACCACCTTTAAGAGCTTCTATGTAGCTTTTACCCTCCTTAGCTGTTAAAGTGAAAAAGGCTTTGGCTGAGGGTAAACTTTTAGCATAAGTTGATACTGATAATTTGTTATCTGCTACTTGGTTTATTGACAGAAAAACATCTTTACGTGTTTGTATGTGTATCTTCAACCTCCCTTTCCACCTTTTGATCTGTTTTGTGTATGGGTACACGTTTGTAAAGCCGTGTTGTAACTTATTCTGCCACTGGGTCGCTGTTTAAAACAGTGGATGCCAAAAGCTATCAGTTGCTACACAAATTTGAGTGAGTTTTAAATATCATAATATATGCTATTTTACTGTTGCTCATTGTTAATAATCAGTGCAAGGTAACTGGGTAAAAGTTATACTTTAGCTTCTGAATGAAATAAAAAAGCTTTCAAGGGGGGCAATTCAGCAAACAGGAGTCCAAAGATTTTCTGAATCTGAGTTAATATCCTTCTGTCAGTTCTTAAAGGGGAACAAGCTTGAGCAGCTGTTACCTAAGAAGCTGTGACACTTGCCTGACAATAAAACTGTTCCCTAGGACACCTCTTGTCTACATTTGATCGGTATTATAAAATGGGAGCCCTGTCTTTCCTACCTGTTGTAATAGACCAAGGAACAGAGCTGAGTGTTTAAAACAAACAAATAAACAAACAAAAAGGGTGTCAAATCCATTTCATAAGATTTCTCATCTGAGAGCAACGTGATTATACACATTTTAATTAGGAGCAGGGGAAAGAAGTAAAAATTATTTTAAAGGGTGCCAAACTTGATGAACAACATAAACAACTTTAACATACAGTACCTCTAAGTAAATCGATGAAGCAAAAGGAAAACTTGCTAACATTTCTCTCACCTTTTTTTTTTTTTTTTTTTTTTAAATTCAACAAAGACATTGATAAAATGAACAGGAAAGCAGAGATCCATGAACAAGCTATTCTTGCTCCTGCCAGAAGCTGGGATCTCAGGATGGGTATTTTCATCCTCACAGCACACCCTAGCACACTCAAATCAGAATAGACTGCTATAAAAAGGGGGAGGAATGGGAGGAGCTCTTGGGGTGAGACATGCCTTCTGGTTAGCTGAGCAACTTGCCCCCCCACCCCCACCCCCATCAGCAAAACAACCCAGAGGCTCTCAGGTGGACTGTCCTCCAGGGGTTGAGTGGAGCCAAGAGCCCACTTCACTCTTGTTAGAGACTAGTCCCTAATTATAAAAGGCTACTTTGAACACTTAAGGCCTCAGGGATCCTATTGGCTACTACAACTTCTAGGTTCTTTACACACATTATAGACATTTCTTAACATATATTGGGAAATCAAAAAGCATGTTTCATGAACAAAGCTTGAAAACACTGACGTACTATCTTCCTTAAGACCAACTGGGGCTGCTCAATTCGATTCAAATAAAAACTGCTATAGTCTGAGTCTGATATCTCACCCTGCTGATCGCCCTTCCCCATTCAGTGCCTGTAAAAACTTACTTTCCACCTCCTGAAACATCCGGAAACTACCCAGTGTTAAAGCAAAAGCTTATTCTAAGAGAAGCTGTACCTAATCTTTTCGTGAAATTTAAGACTAAACTCAGAACTCTATTCCCATCTCAATCTATTACTCTTACTTCTGCTAAAGGTAAGATAACTAATGACCAAGGAAAAACATAAGAACAATTTATGGTTTTCTTTCCAAGCAATGGCTCTCTTACAGCACCCTCTGTCTTAATGGTACAAAGTCCAGGGCTTGGGACAGCTGGCTCCCCTCCACCCCCTCCCTTTCAGTCATAGGCGGTCACCACCAAGATGACTTGTAGATTTCTAACTTAAAAACCAATGAGGCATTAGGTTTAATATGCATGTATATTCAAAATCAATTCACTTGCGCACGGGCGAAAGGAGGGTGGAGAGGGATGTTTTTAGGCTAAAAACACAGAAAAACTCACAGAAACACACCAGAGCAAGTTGGATGCAAACCCGGGCACAAGAACTCAAAAGTGAAGCAGCCTTCGCGGCAGCAATCCGAGTCTTAAAAAAATAAAAAAAAGTCTCGCACGTTCACAACAACACAACCGCCACCACACGCACACACATCCCAGCTGCAAAAGCGACAGCTCCCAGCTCGCTCGGCCTCGCCGCGGGGCTCCGGTGGCTCCCGACCCCCTCCTGACCCCGGTGCGCGGCTGCCCGTCCCCTGCCCTTCCCCCAGCAGATCTGCCCTCGCAGGCTGGGGGTCCCGGCGCCCGCCGCGGG